CCAGCATTCTGAGCAGAAACCCCTTGGCCCCAGCAGCCAGGCTGGGAAGGCCATGTTTTTCTGGGTGAGTCTCAATTTTCCCCAGCAGGTGTTCCTGAGTCAGCCTTTGTGTCCCCCTTCCAATCCCCCTCCTAGCAGCTGTCCCAGAGCCTGGCTGAACCTGCTCCCACAGGATGCCCACCCAGCTTAGCAGCTTCCAGAGAAAGGGCTTGGTTTGGACACTTGCCTGGGGCAAGCCTAGATTCTTGGTCATGACCTGAGGTGGAAGAAACCACCGTGTTCTGGCCAGAGGGCCAGAGCGAGTGACTTCCTGGGAGAGCCTCTGCCTCCTCCTTTCTGCCCTATTTTTGTGTAAATAACCCAGCCCACAGCCTGCCCCCTTGGCATTAGCTAGAGGGGAATTTTCTAAAGGGTGAAGTGTCTGGGAAATGTTCACCCTTTTTTCCTTCTGTCTTACGACAAAAGTGCGGCAAATGGAGCCTTGGCTGTTGGTTCCTGGGGTGAGAACTAGTGGGGCCAGGAAAAGGAGACTCTGACCTTCCCCTCCTCCTCCCTGCCTCAGAGTGTGACAAGGCCTATCTCTCATCCCTGTCATCCTTCCTCAGGGGGAGGGCAGGGCTTTTTAAGGCTCTAGAGCCAGGAAGAAGGCATCATGCACAGAACTTCCCAGAAAAGTTGGCCTGTTGCACTGTGGGGAGAGACCCAGAAAATGAAAGCTACAGGCCTCGCTGGCAGGGGATCGTCTCATCTTGTCAGCACTGGGTCTAGGCACGTCCCACTTCTCACCCTTACCCTTGGACTCTGCCTTTCCCCGAGTTGCTGACTGAGGTTTCCCTGGCTCTCTTTTCCATTGGGGCTTCCCAAGCCTTCGCTGACCCCCAGTGTGGGGGAAGAGCTAGGCAGCCTGCACTGCTGGGGGCCCATTTCTCAGACAAGATTCTGAAGGCCTGAGAAGCATAGCACCCCCCTCCCCAACCCCAAGGAGTGTCTCTGCACTACCCTTTAACCCTGAACCCACACTGACTACTACATCCCCTCCAACACATGACCCTAGGGACTTGGAAGTTGCCTCAGGTGAGGAAAGGGCCACCTTGTCTTTCCAGCTGTGGAGGCAATGGAAGCAGGCAGAGGGAGAGGGCTTGGGCCTCTTCGTCTACCAGCCCAGCTGCTGCATGGCCTCCACCCAGCTTCCCTTCCCCATCTTGAAAGGGAAGACAGAGCCCTGTGTCTCTGTGGAGCCAGCCAGGGCAGGAATGGGCTTGCTAAGTTCAGGAGCTGGCCACAGCGTGACTGGAACAGGAAACGCAGCTCCCACAACCTGGCTGTTTACTTTGTGTCCCCAGGAATGGCCGCTCTCCCAACTGCTGCTGGTGATCCGGGCCTTCCTCTCTGAGGAAGGAGGCTCAGGCACAGCCCGCTCCTTGCCAGAGCCCCAGGTTCTGCTGATGTCTGCTTCTCGGACCTTCACAAAACAGGGCCAGGGGTGGGGTTCAGAAGAAGCTTTGCGTGCACCCATTGCCACCATCTGTCCAGCTGTCTGGATGAGATCAGATGCTCTCTGACCTCAACACTGGGGCCGTGGGTCTAGGGGAAGGAGGAGGACCATATGGGCTGGGCACTACCCATGCCATGTGAAATCTTTTTTTTCCCCAAAACACTACTGTAAAGACTGCTGTCTTTGTAGGAATCCTGGGCACAGGTGGAACTCTATCCCCCAAGTTGGATCAAAGTCTTCCTTAAAGGGCCTCCCCTCACTTAGGCCCAACTCCAGGGGTCACCCTTGAGGGCAAGGAAATAAAATGCCCTCAGCCTTCCTTGCAGGTAGTGGGCAAGGTTTTTTTCCCCCTTGGGGAAATACAGCTGATAACATATGGTCCACAGGGATTAGCTTCAAAGCCACCATTTCCTTCTTGCTATTCCCGCCCCCCTCCTCAAAAACACACATTCAGAATAGTTTCCCTGGGATTTTCCCCCTGGATTCAATGATGGGAATCAGCATTAAGAATGAAGTTGTGAAACCCGTCCTTGTGCACTCAAGTAGTCCCTAGTTCTGCTGCTTTTTTTCTCAGTAAATCCCCACTGCACGAATTTTCCTCCAGGGCATTCCTCAGATCCTGGACCCATCTTCACCACGCCTCCCACTTAGGAAGATGGATTCTGCCCTGGGCTGGGGGTGGGGTGGAGGCAGGGGGTCGGGGTAGGGGTGCCTGAGACCACCCCCCCTCCCCCCACCCCAACACAGAGACTGGCCTCTGTACCAGTCCCAGGGTGGCTCCGAGGTCTCTTTTAGCCCCAGCACTGGGGCCTCTGAAATGCAAAGATCTCTCAGGCCCTCTCTGCCTCTCCCGGCCTTCCTCTGAAAGAGATTGGCTCTGTGGCCCCTGGATATTTTCCTTCGTGTCTCCCACCACCGCCATTGCACCTCTCCTCTCACTAGCAGCTTGCTTAGTGCCTTCTCAATTAGGGGCCTGGGTCCTGAGAGTGCAGTTCCTTTTCAGGGTCACACGTCTGTCTCCCTTGCCCCACACCCACCCCAAACCCAAGAGACTCGGACAATTGTAACTGGTATTGTCTCATTTTAAATTAACTTTAATTGTATTTAGATTATAGGAGTAAAGCACACACGCTGTAGGAAAATAAGCTTAGGAAAGAAATGATGAAGGCTGTCCTACAGTCCGTTCTGTCAGAGACAGCCACATTTTCTTGCTGGTGGTCTTCCATCTTAACTGATTCTGATGCCTCCTGTCTGGGGTCGGAGGGGGGCGCAGTCTGTCCCCCACAGAGCAGCCTGCCTGCTCAAGACCCTTGAACCACCTCCACTGCTCACTGCCCCCGCCCTCCAGGGCCAGCCCAGTCCTCAGGGGGCCCCCTCCTTCCGCCCTGCTCCATGCTCCAGCCCAGCTACCTGGTGGCCGGTCCCCCAACGAGCCCTGCCTCTGTTTCTTGCATCAGCCCTAGGATCTGTCTGGTGTTGCAATCTCCGCCCTGCCCCCACACGCACAGGGCCATCTTCACCTCCGATCCTACTGTTCCTTTGAGGCCTGGGCTAGGCTTAGTCACTTCCTCCTTGAAGCCTTCTGAGCTGCATCCCAACCCCTCCCTGACCAGAAAAATAGAAAAAAAATCCTAGAAGGACCCTTTCTCTTTTTGGTCCATGAGGAAGCGGAGAGTCAGTATTTGTTGACCAAACGACTGCCTTCCTGAAGTATCTTTTTCTAACGTCTAAGTGTTTGTGGCTCTGTCTTAGTCAAGGAACAATGTCTGGCACACAGGCCTGTGCCTGCTTTATGGGGGCGGTGGGGGCGGCGGGAGCCTTTTGCCAGGGCTGCAGACTGAGAAGGAGTTCTGAATGCTGTGGGCCTCCTCAAGGCGAGGCCAGGCTGGGGAAGGGGAGCCTGGGGGGAAGCAGCAGCTTGCCAGCCCAGATGGGGGATGCAGGCCTAGGCAGCGGCAGGACCCCGCAGGGGCAGCTGGCTCGGAACCTGGGTCTCGCCCCACCTGGGGCGGCCCTGCTTGGAGGCTCGCTGGTGGTCCCCAGGGCTTTGCACACTGTCTTCTCCCAGCCTTCGGTGTGTGCGGTGTTGCCCAACCTGGCCAGGCTCTGGGGTCAGGCCCCCCCGTGAGCCTCAGCTATGGTGCTGAAGAACAGTTTGGGTCCTGGGCAAGACGGGTGCTGCCGGGGTAGAGCGGTGGGTAGGGTCCCTTCTCAGGATTTTTGCATTGTGGTATTTTGAGTTCAAGAAGATAGTACTCCAGGGACAGCTGGGTGGCTTGGTGGGTTAAGGGTCTGCCTTCCAATCAGGTCCTGGGGTCCAGGTGGTTGGGCTCCCTGCTCAGTGGGGAGTCTGCTTCTCCCTCTCCCTCTGCCACTCCCCCTGCTTGTGCTCTCTCTTGGTCAAACAAATAGATGGAATCTTTAAAACAAACAAACAAACAAGACAGTCCTCCAGAGTACCGTGTCTGATGCCCTCAAAAATGGTTCTGGCTTCTGCCTTCACAAGGTCTGTGCAGAGTGGTGCTGCTGTTTCTGGATGAGACGGGCAGGGGAGGTAGGGGCACAAGGGAGTCTTGGGCTGGTTCTGAACTCCAGCCTTGTTGTTACCAGGCCCTGCCGACCTTCTCCGGAGCTTGCCTTTCTCATCCCAGCTCAGCCTCAGAGCTAGTTATCTGCAACGGGCGCAACAGTGGGGGTGTTTCCTGGCCCCCTCCCTGCCTTAGACGTAGGAGTCTAAAGGGCACCGGGCGACAGGCACTTTTGAGTGGAGGAGTTCAGACTGCCAGGAGCAGGCTGTCTTTCATGGCAGAAGCCACGCCTGTCTTTGAGGGTGCTCCCCTCCCTGTGCCTCTCTTTGTCTGGATAGCCCCAGAAAAGAGTGGGTGCCGACGGAGTCCAGGGGCACCCTGGGATCCAACCATTCCCTGAGCCAATGGAATTGGCCTTTGTCCTGTCTGTACCCCTCAGAATGTCGAGGGGGCAAGAGCAAGGGTATGAGCCAGAAGGTAAGTGTACAGATGCTGAACTGAAGCCATCTCCTGTCTGCCTCTCCCCTCTTCGCTGGCCTCCTTGGGTCAATATGGTCTGACTGTCCACACAAGGGGTGTCCTGCTGACCCAGGAGGCCATGTCCCCTCCTTAGAGAATAGTGGCACCTGCCACGGGTGCCTCAGGGAATAGAGCAGGACCACAGACCCTGTGCAGAGGGGAGAGTGGACAGGCCCTTCTCCCCAGCAGGCTTTCTCTTTGGGCCTCTGGGACAGGCCTGAGGGACAGGATGGGTTTCTGGATGGCAGAGGTTTCTTCTTCTTCTGAATAAAAGAAGGACAATCATCCATCGGAGGGAGGGTTCTGAGCCAGGGGGTCCACAGCCCTCCATTAGGATACCTCCCTAGAGACTGTGCCTGGAAGCCCCAGCAGTGGGCTGAGTCCCCACCCCAGGCCTGCAAGCATGGAGTCTGGAGGTGACGGACTGAGGAGAGCCTATCTCTCTGTGCTCTTTCCAGGCCTGCTACTTATGCCACAGCCTGCTGACGCTGGCCGGAGTGGTGGTCAGCTGCCAGGACATTACTCCAGAACAGTGGGTGAGTCTCCCAAGAGGCCGAGATGGAGGCCAGCCCACTGTTGGGAGCTGCAAAGAGTGGGAGACTCTGAAAGAGTGGGAGGCTCTGAAAGAAGTGGGCCTAGGGGAGCCAGGCTCCCTCCTCCTCCCAGCGTCCCACAGGGCATTCCCAGGGTACCCTGACCCGACCTCCCAGTGGCTGCCCTGTTCCTCTTCAGAGCAGTCATTCAAATGCATCCCTCTTTCTCTGATTTCTTGCCCCCTCCTCCCGTTCTGTGGAGGGGCCTGGCCTATGTAACACCCTCTCCATGCACTCCCCCCACCCCTGCAGGGGGAGCTGCAGCTGCTGTGCATGCAACTGGACCGTCACATCAGCACCCATATCCGGGAGAGCCCCCAGGCCATGCACCGGACCAGACTCAAGGACTTGGCAGCCCAGACCTATATTCGCTGGCAGGAGCTGCTGGCCCACTGCCAGCCCCAGGTGGCACCCCCTCTGGGCCCTAGACTTGGGAGGGGAGGGAAGTGGTCAGGCAGGCTGACCAGAGCTGGCAGCGTATCCACCCCCATGGCAGCTCCTGACTGGCAGGTGGGTAGAGATGCCTCAGAGGACCTTCACCATGGTCACCGAGAAGCCAAGCCCCATGCAGGGATGTAGTAAGGGGAAGACAGAGAGGCCAACTCCTGGCCAAATGCAAAGAAAAACTTTGCCCTGGAGAGGAGGAGCAGTAAGCAGCGCCAGGACGGGGCACCTTAGGCACCAGCTTTTCCCCCTCTGAGCGCTTGCCTTGTGGGCCTGAGGCTGGCCTCCTGCTCCTACTCCTACTCTCAGCCTGCCCTGGCCCCTCCCAATTTCAGGAGCAACAAGCTCCATGCCCCTGATTTTTGTCAGGCTCTCTTAGGGAATAATATTCATAGCTCATACATATTGAACAAAGATCCACTTTCTCCACAAAACAAGATAACCCCCATGAGACAGGTACTATTACCATCCCATTTTATAGATGAGCAAGCTGACCAGAGTCACTGAGAAGTTAAATAGCTTGCCCCATCCCGAAAGCAGTGTGTAAATGTCAGAGCCAGGGCAGAAATCCAGTCCGACTCCCAAGCCTGCAGACTTTCGTTTTTTTTTTTTAAGATTTTATTTATTTGAGAGAGAGAGCATGAGCAGGTAGGGGGAGAGGGAGAAGCAGGCTCCTCGCCAAGCAGAGAGCCCAACATGGGGCTAGATCTCAGGACCCTGGGATCATGACCTGAGCCGAAGGCAGCCGCTTAACCGACTGAGCCACCCAGGTGCCCCTCAAGCCTGCAGACTTAAGCAGTCCAAGCCCCGCTCAGATAGCATCTCTTCTGGCCTCTGTCCCTCTGACAAACAGTGTCAGCTGCCTTGGGGGCTCTTCTCTCCCCCAACCCTGATGAAGACAGGCTGGGTCTGGTGAGCATCTCTCCTCCCATCCTCCCTCAGCTCCCAACATCTCTATCCTCTGACTTCTCTGCTCATCCTTCCTCCTGTAACCTCTGACTTGGGGCTGACACATTGACCACAGGCTGTGGCTTGGGTCTCAGATTTCGCAAGTCTCTGAGAAAGCTGGAGAGCAGACCTCACCCTCAATCCCCGAGGAACTAGATCACACTAGTCTCTGGTGGGAAACAGCGTGTTTGTCATGAAAAAAAAAGGAAAAGTGCTTTGTGGCCTGGCCACGTCAGGGGGCAGGCCCCACCTTCCTGTCACACTGCTCTGGGCCTTCAGGCCATGAGTAGAGGGCACCCAGACAGAGCACCCATGTGCTGTGCTCAAGTGGCCTGTTGACCTGCCATGTCCTCTCCTGGATGGGGAGCCACAGGACTTTTGTAGCTCAACACCTGGCACAAGGAGGCCTGTATTGGGTGTTGACGCTGGACAGTCAGCCGGTCCCAGGGCCATCACATTGTTTTCTTCCTTGCTACAGGCCCAGTACTTCAGCCCCTGGAAAGACTAAAAGAGCAGGGCACAGCTGGTCCCCAGCTCTTGGCTCTGGCTGGAAGTGAATGGGGCTCAAGCAACAGGAGGAAGCGAAGAACAGAGGCCAGAGGAGGGCCAGTATGATGAAGTGAGAGCCTGCTTCCACACTGCCCCTGACCCCCACCGGGCAATGGATATGTCTCCTTGCCTGGCCCACCCCTCAGCCCTCCTTCCCTCCCAGCTGTCTCCTCTGCCCCAAGGCCTTTGTCTCCACTCTCTGGTTTCCCAGGGCCTCCTGGGCCCTCCCCACCGTCCTTCCTCCCTCTGTCACTAATGTGAGCTTTCTTTGTGCACACTAAAGTCTTATTTCAGCATCGGTGGTTTAGAAAATTTCCTTCAATCCCTGTCCTGAGGGCTCTTGCCCAGGGTCCAGTTTCCTGACATCTCTCCACTGGGACTGCGCTGAGTTCCCACCTCTGACAGTCATGTGACTGGTCCTTTTAGGCTCCTCCCCCTGTCCCAGAAGGCTGTTTGTAAATCCTGGGGGAAGTTATTCCTGTCAGAAACACACAGGCAGGAGGGCTAGGGAGCATGGGTTTGGACCTGGTCTGGGACCAAATCCCCCCCCCACCCCTTACTCACTGCCCTCTCCAGGGACAGTCCACAGACTGAGCTGGTGGGTCAGGAGTGTAATTACACTTAATTCAGTTTATTGTTGAGTTCTGAAATCAACTCCACAGACTTAGAAGTGGGGAATGGGAGATGGATGGTAGGGGCCAAAAGACAAGCTGGATACTGCTGTTGCTTTCCCTCAGCCTTACCCTTGCTCTGATTCTTAAGGAAGTGCTGGATGTCTTTGACCCACCCCCCCCTTGAGAAGCAAATGGGCCCTGAGCAAGCCGGCGAGATCCTTGGGTATGCTCATTCTCTGTCTACTCCTCCAACCCCAAGAATCCATTTTAGCATCAGGTTGGGAGAGGGTTTTGCAGGGTCCATAAGACATGGAAATAGCAGAGGATCACCCCTACACCCCTGGCCCGTGCCCATTCATCAGCTCAAGCTGAGCGTGTGCCGACAGCTTCACCATGGCTGGTGCTTACGACTTTCTCTGTTGATGTGCCCCTTTCCCTTTTTCTTTTATGCCACAGGGGCAGGGCAGGCTAACTAGGAGAAAGACTCCCCCCACATAAAGGACCTTCAGGGCAAGTGGCTCAATTTGCAGACCTGAAGGGTAGCCCATCACTTCCTGGGCCTGTCTTATTTATTTGTTTGCTTGTTTTGTTTTACTTAAGTAGGCTCCACATCCAGCGTGGAGCCCAACTCAGGGCTTGAACTCATGACCCTGAGATCAAGACCTGAGCCAAGATCAAGAGTTGGATGCTTGGGGCGCCTGGGTGGCTCAGTGGGTTGGGCCTCTGCCTTCAGCTCGGGTCATGATCTCGGGGTCCTGGGATCGAGCCCCGCATCGGGCTCTCTGCTCAGCGGGGAGCCTGCTTCCCTTCCCCTCTCTCTGTCTGCCTCTCTGCCTACTTGTGATCTCTGTCAAATAAATAAATAAAAATTAAAAAAAAAAAAAAAAAGAGTTGGATGCTTAACCTACTGAGCCACCCAGGTGCCCCCCTGGGGCTGTTTTAGACACAGCTGCCTCCCTCACCCAGGCTGGGACCTGGGGCATCTATAATTCAGAGGGCCTGAGCACACAGCCGAGCGTCTGCGTGCCATACCGGTCGTCGCCCTGCCATGCTCCCTTTGCCAAGTGACAGGTGGAAGAAGTCCTTGGCCAGGGTGACTTGGATGCCCAGGTGACTTGACCGAGAGTTCTGGTTTCTGTTCCTGGCCACATCACAGGGCCCCCTGGCCGGGGCACCACGGAGGCCCGAGCAGCATCAGGTAGGCCTGAGATGGTCTGATAAAAGTGAAGGCTCTGGTGAGGCAGCCTCCTTCGTGTCCCTCCAGGCTGCTTCTGACACTGTACATCCTGACAGCTAATCCTCAGCTCTTCGGTTTGCTCTGGAAACCTGGAAATCACCTTTGAAATTTCCCCTCTTTGTTCTCACTGCCAAGGGCAGAGAGGGAAAGGCCTAAGAGGCTGAACTGGGGAGTTTCCAATTCTCGAAGCTGCCCCTACCTGGCTCTGAGAAAGAGATCATGCTGTCTATCAGCACAGATACCCGGGGCCTTTCTCCCCAGTCCTGGTCCTTGAGCACTGAGCCCTCCTCCCCTGTTCCCCAAACACACTTGTCCCCAAGGGGAAAACAGATACCAAGGAGAAAAAAGGTGTTGGTGACTACTCAGTCCCTCCAGAGATCTAGCGGTAACCTGAGCAGAGGGGTATGCTTCAAGGTCACCCAAGGGCGTCCCATATCCCCTGGGACATGTAATGGGCCCTCACTGGAACTGGCTGGAGGCTGACCAGATCTTCTAAAACCAGTCTGGGACCAGTTAGAGACTCAGTCTCCTCCAGGCCAAGAATTCCACAGTGCTGCTGGCGACTTCACCACTTGCCCTTTCCAGATCCTTAATCCCCTGGGAAAAGGCTGAGGGATATCCTGATTGAAGGCCCTGGAAACGCAGCATCCGGGGCTGTGATGACGGATGTTTTCCGGCTTCCTTTTGGTGATGGTGGCAGAGAGGGGCTGGGAAGGGAAAGGCTTCCCAGGTGGACAGCTTTGATAACTCTCTTCTAGGAGGAAGTAGAGGAAGTCCTTTTCCTATGTCCCCACTCACCTCAGTCCCCAGCCCTCCAAAAGATCCCTGAAGGGTGGCTGACCCAGGCTTTCTCATTTCCCCCTCTGTGAGCTAACAACAGCTCTCAGATCCTTTGGAAGTGGGCCAGGAAGTGCTCACTGGAGAACCCCAGTGTGAACCCTGGGCTCCACTCTGGTCTGAAAGCTGCCTTGCAAGAGCTAGTGGTAAGGAGCTCAAGTGAGGGACACCATGGCACATGACCAGTGTGTGGGGGAGGGACTGGGAGGTTGACTTTCAGGCAAGACTCCTGGACCCATCTGTAGGGACTGAGCTGAGTCTGAGCTGAGCTGCCAGTGGATCCTTGGAGAAACTCAGAAGGCATTTAGCATATGTGGGCTTTCCTTGACTTGGCCACAAGCAGATGAGCAAGAGGGCCTGTCAGGGCCTAAGGCTTGAAGCATGGGTACTTTAAATAGAATATGCCAGACAGGCCCTAGGGAGACATGACAGGTACAAGAGACTTTCCTTCTTTTTTTTTTTTTTTCTTAATTTAAAACCCAGGAATGTTCATTTTTGACCGGTTGTACTTTTATTAAAAAGTATGAATCATGAGCAAGTAGTCATGCAGGAAACTTTATCCTCTGCCCACCCACCCATGGAAAAGGCCAGTGCTGGAAATTAACAGCAGGAAATGAGTGAAGGTAGAAAAGGGGAGTGGGGTGGGGAGCTGCAGCCTTATCTTTGAGGAGCATTGGGGAGGGAAGGGCTCCCCGAGTCTGCTAGCAGGAACAGAGAAGCCTGCCATAACGTACAGAAGACTGTCCCTGCCAGTGAAACCAAACCACCTTTTGAAACTTTCCACTGGGGCGTCTTGCAGGTGGAGCTCTGCCTGGTGGGGGTGGGAGCAGAGGTGAGGAAAAACAGCAGGAAACGAGCTGTTTCGGGCTTAAAGGTTGTCCAGATGCACTCTGACTTGGTGGAAAGACAGGACTGGGAGTCCCAAGACCTGATTTAACATCCTGACCTTGCTAAGTATCTACGTTACTTTGAGCAGGTTGCTTCATCCTTCTGAGACTCATTTTTATCTCCAAAATCAGAGACAAGGATACCTGCCGTTTGAACGGTGGTCAGGGTGGATGATGTGAGGAAATGTATGTGAAGGCAGGTGGCTAAGTGTAAAGCACAGAACAGATATGAGTGCTATCTGCATATCAGTTCACCTCCACTCAAAAAAAGACTCAGGGTCTAACCTGGAGGAGGCGTCACCCCCAACTCCCTCCCAGCCAGCAGAGGCAGAGCCTTCCCTGCCCACCCCATGCTAACTGTTAAGGCTTGCCCTCTATCTCCAGCATCTCCAAGACCATGGCTTTTTTTTTTTTTTTTTTTTTTGCCTAGTGGAAAGGAGCTGGGAAATATGGCTTTGGCCAGTGCAGGAGAAGGGCCCTTTATGTGTACCAGCAAAGACCCAATTGTTACTGAATCCAAACTGGGCTGCTTTTCCCAATTATCTCCACTACTCTTCTGGTCTCCATTTTTAGATGCCAAGTTTTAACTCAGAACAAAAGCTCCTGTCGGGACTGATTTATAATGCAGATTTGCTGACGCGGCCCTCCAGTGTTCCTCTCCTCCAGGACTGCGCCCGCTTAAAGTCCCCACCAAAGCCTTGGGGCTCCAGTGTCTTTACCTCTGTCCTTTGCCCCTAGCCAAGAGGAGGCATCTGTGTCTGGGTGCCGATGGGGCGGCTTCCCTGGGGTTTGTCCACTTGTCCAGCTCTGAGGACCAGCTGGCAAGGTCCACGCCAGCACCACACCAGCGGAGCAGGCCAGAGCTACAAGTGACTTCTAGGAGCTGCTGTGGGCGGAGGCAGGCGGTTCTTAAAGGTGGTAGCTCTCCAGCGCGCCTTCCCCTCAGCTGCTTTCATCTGAACATTAGGGCTCATGTCACTTGTTACTCAGCCTTCTGGCATCAGAAGGACTAGTTTCTTGGGGGCAGGCTCTGTGCAACAGGAGTCTCCCGGAGGGCTGTCTTCCCGGGGAGCTAGCTGGGCAAGGGCGCTGCTGTCCCTCTGTGTGGAGCGTGAAAAACAAGGAGCAGACTCTCCGGAGATTAGTGGGTCTAACTGGTTGGTAAGACCCGTTCCAGTCTGACTGCGGGGGCCAGCTGGTGTTGGGGCCAAGAAACGAAGCAGAATTTCGGGCCAAAAGACCCATTCTGGTCTGCCCCAAAAAGGAGCCTCGATTTCCCCGGCACCCCTCCCTCGGATACTCGCCCCGAAGGGGCTTGCCCGCGTTGGTTCCAGTAACTGCTGGGAGCTCCTCGGCCCCATTCCCGAGCCCAGCCGCCCAGCCG